CCTTCCTCATGCCGCGACCCTTTCATGCAGTTCCTCATGTGGTGGTGACCCCCCCAACTGTAACACTATTTTCGTTGCTACTTCATAGCTGTAATTTTGCTACTGTTATGAGTCGTAATGTAAATATTGATATGCAGGATGTATTTTGAACAAGCCTTAGTTTACTCATCTGTACAATGGGATTAGCACTGATGCCTATGCTACTAGTATGCGCTTCAAACGGGAGCAGTGGGGACCCGAGGAGGTTTCTACCAAGATGCTCTGGACACTGTGCGTGCTTATGAATATAAGGTAGTAAGTTTAAAGGTAATCCAGGCAGGCACTTCCAATCACAAAGCACGAGCCTGCGGGTGCCTCTCTCGCATGGAATCTGCCTCCTTAGCACCCAGAGAAAGGTCTCCACCTCTGAAACGGAAATGGGCCCAGAGTAGTCCGATTCTGTCCTCACATAGCACCCTGACCGCCTGCTCCTTTCCCGCAAATAGGGAAACAACAGCTTGAGGGCCGAGTGCAAAAGCAGTTCCACATTCGAGACACCCTGGAAATTCCGCTCCTGGCCCAGCACTATCTTTGTAAGCTTGAATAGTTCTTCAGAAACCGAATTCCGGGGAGGGGGGTGCGGGGGAGGGGGGTTCCTTCCGGCCATGCGGTTAGAGCATCAACTGTAACACTATTTTCGTTGCTACTTCATAGCTGTAATTTTGCTACTGTTATGAGTCGTAATGTAAATATCTGATATGCAGGATGTATTTTTCAGGGGTCGCGACCCACAGGTTGAGAACCGCTGAACCAGAGCTTTAGATCGAGGCCCCGAGTTCACCTGTCTGTGACTGATTCATTCCCTTCTCCACTCCCGGAAGCAGGGCCTGGCACAGCCCCGCTCTGCAAGGTCACTGACACAGAGGACACAACTCCACCACCGGCTTTTTAATTCTACCAAACGGAGACAATTAGCCCCAAATCCCTACGCCTCCGTGTCTGCTCCAAGGAGAGGTCACTGTTCTCTGTGAGGATGCCTCTCAAGAACATGCCACCAAAAAAATCACCTTATCGTCGTTCACAGCGCGGCTCTGAGACCAGACTGCACCTCATTGCCTCCATTTTTGCTTCACACAGGACCAAGCATGGGGCTTTGCATAGAGGAGGTGCTCAATAAACATGTATGGGATAAAGGAAGAATAAACCTATAAATGTTTGGGGGAGACTTATACTCTCTGGGTAAAAATCTTTTTTTTTCTTTTTGAGGACAGAAGATAGGTAGGTATAAGAGCGTCTGCTAAATTCTGCAGTACAGATAAATGGTTTTAGAATTGCGCTGAGATTAGAAGAGCGTATTCCTTCATTCACCCGCCAAATATTTACTGGGCTCCAGTGTGCCAGGTGCTGTTCCAGGTATTGGAGACACAGTAAAAGGGATGGACAAGCCCCCCCACCCCCCCCACACACACACACACATGGAACTTCCATTATAGCAAAGTAGCCAAGAGCAGAGGCTGTGGAGACAAGCTTTCAAATTCCAGAGAAGTTAGGAAGGAAGTTGACCGTGTTCTGCTTGCTCACCTTGAAAATGGGGATACTAGTACCAACCTTACAGTATTATTTACGAAGATTAAGTGAGAATCCATGTGAAGGAATTAGCACATAGTCGAGTTTAAATCAATTTTCCACTCTGATCACCACCCCGCTCAAGTTAGTCATCATATGACTGTTAGTCTCTTTCAGATCCCTTGTCTCAGTTGGCAATAATGTTTCTTACCAGACTCCTACACTCTTCCCAAATGTCCAATGTTAACCACATGACTAAGTTAACCAGGAGAGAGACAAAGGAAACCGCAGGCATCCTTCTAGATGAAGGCCGCAGGCTGCTCAGATGGAAATGAACACATGAGGGGTGCTCTGCTTAATTAAGACCACTGCTAGTCAAAGCAGGATTCATTCCAGGCCTCGGTGAAAATCTCCAGGAGGGCAACTGGCAAGTGAAGGGCTGGAGGCCTAGAAAGAAGGTGAGAAGAGACCGTGCCTTCCACTCGTTTTACTTTATTTTTTTAATATATTTTGTTGATTTTTTTTTACTGAGAGGAAGGAAGAAGGATAGAGAATTAGAAACATCAATGAGAGAGAAACAGCACCCAGCTGCCTCCTGCACACCCCCGATTGGGGATGTGCCCGCAACCAAGGTACAGGCCCTTGACCGGAATCAAACCTGGGACCCTTCAGTCCGCAAGCAGATGCTTTATCCACTGAGCCAAGTGGTCAGGGCCCATTTGTTTTAATCAACACTCTGCAGGGGCTCTGAGTCTCAGCTGAGCTTAGGATGGACACGGGGCCCCTCAGCGGGTAAACCCACAGCACAACAGGAGTAGAGCGTGCTGTCTTGTTGCTTAGCTGTTCATTGGCCACGTGAGCCCAGGGCGGGTTGTAAAAGAGGCCTCATGCCCTGTTATTTGTTTTGCTCCCAGAGGCGGGGAGGGCTTGAGTCAAGGAAGCAGACATACAAATGCACCAAAGGCCCATACCTGCTCCTACCTCAGACCAAAGACACAGGTGCCCCGGGCTCCACCCCCACTTCTACCCTCCTTCCCTTCCTCTCCAATCAGGCCTTTCTCCTCCCTCACCCGCCCCGGGCCCTGGCCTTGGACTCAGATTCTCTGTCCCTGCCAAGCCCATTCACACTGATGACTGGTAGGAGTGCCTGGCTAGCTTTCCACTTGGGTGTTTCCTCAGAAGTTGCGGCCTCTCAAGTTACCCCTCCATCCCACACAGCTCCAGCCTGTGGGGACCTGCCCCACTCAGCCGGGCCCAGCACAGGCCTCAGCCCCCAGTTCTCTAGGCCCTAACTCGTCTGGGATCAGACTCCTTGTACCACACACAGAGCCATGCTAGTTCTAGCTTAGTGGTGTGCAACCAAAGTTAAACGAATTGGGAAAAGAATGTTAGCTGTCATTCAGTACCTGTTTACAGTGGACCAGGCACCACTCTAAGCCTAACCTTCCTGTGAGGTAGGTCCTGTTCCTAATCCATTTTACAGAATTGAAACTGAGGCATAGAGAGGAAAATCACCCGAGGTCACAAGCTAGCACATGACAGAGCCCATGTCTAACTACACTCCTGAAATGCAGAAATACATAATACACATTCAGTCCCTGCTGGCAAGAGGCCCATAACCCAGCACGGGAAGCAAGCACAGACAATGGGTTTTAGCCACAAATTCACAGCAGATCGTGGCTTTATCTGTGTAATTCTCTTTATGTCACAGATGTACATCCCGTGCCATGTGCGTCTGGGAACTCAAAGGAATGAAACAGAACTGATTAAAATGGAAAGCAGAAGATAGTTACACCGTCTCTTTTAAAGCAGAATTTACTCATTGAGAAAATATCAGCTTCTCTTCTTATGTGGGTACTAATGGCTACAAAAGGAAGGACACTTACTTATACTGAGAAACCAGCATTTCTCACATCTAACCAAAAATAGGACATGAGAAAGAGAGATCACATCAGAAATCCTGGGACATCCAGCTTAATGTTTGCTAATTAGATCTTCTGTCAGATTCTCTGCCCATACATCTCTCCATGGTAACATTTTATGTGAGCCTAAAAGCTACCTCTGGTTCATTCTGAGAGAATGTTGGAAAGCCGGAAGGAAACTGGGGAGACAGGACGACCAATCCTTTTAAGGAAGAGATAGGGAATTAAACATGTTATTCCACTTAACTAGCGTTTTCTCATTCTCTTTAGATGCATCACCAGTGACTGATGTCATTTGAGTCACCACAATTGGACAAAAGAATCAACCCAGGTCCAAACAATGGTGGCACACACATAGCTCAGACTCAGGGCAACACCCACAGTGCAGAACTAAGTGACACACTGCCTCTGACAGAACACACATCATATTTTTAATGTTCCCCAGAAAAACGTTCACGGTCTCTCTGGGTGAAATGATGAGGCATCTGATAATACTGAGACCCAGAAAGCCTTCCATTCCACCACCCTCCCCGGGCCCAGGACTCCTCTCTGCCACAGCATCCAGCATGGAAGACAAGGCTAACGTTCTCAGCAACCTGCACAAACTACGCCTTTGTGCTGGACAACATGCTCCGTGTTCCCCAGATCCCCTTTCAGTTTCCTCCTGACTCACAGCTAGACTGAGTTCTTTGTCTGCTGGGGTTGGGTGAAGCCACACAAGTGAGTTTGCCCAGTGGAATGTGGGGTGGAAATGATGCAGACCATCTGGCTGCTGTGTCTCGATGATTCAGCATCGACCTATGAACCAGAAGGTCACATGCCTGGGTTGCAGGCTCAATCCCAGTGTGGGGGGACGGGGGAGGAGGCCGATGATTCTCTCTCATCACCGATGTTTCTATCTTTCTACCCCTCTCTCTTCCTCTCTCTCCAAAATCAATAAAAACACATTTTTAAGAAATTGGGCATACCACTCTGAGGCCTGGTCCCCAAATGCATGTGGGATCATGCATTCCCTTCATCCACCAGCCAGACAGAGAGGTTCCTGTGGGAAACTCCAGGGCCTCCAAAGATGGAGCCACTAAATAACCACATGGAACCCTAGCCCAGCGGTTTTCAACCCTTTCCATCTCATGGCACACATAGACCAATGACTAAAATTCTGCGGCACACCAAAGAACTGTTTTTGCTGATCTGACCAAAAAAAAAAAAAAAGGAGGTATAATTTTTTTTGCTACTGTTGTGTTAGCTGTTCTCATTTTACTATCTGACAATCTAAGGGAAAAGAGGTCAGTGCCCCTGGCTATATATAGTCAGGTATGGCATGTTGTAAACATCCTTGCAGCGCACCACTTGAAAATTCGCTGCCTTAGCCCAATCCACACTGGACTGTGACCTGAAAGGAAAACTGCCCTTCATGCAGAGGTGGGCAGTGGTCTGTGAGAGCCACGAGTGCTCCTCGGGCAGTGGGTATAGCCTGCCTGTGCCGTGGCCTCACTCTGGAGGCAGCAGTTACCCTGCAGCAGCCACACCTACCTGTGTCGTTGCCGATGCAATCCAGTATCAGGCAGATTCCCAAGGGCTTGCTCTGCATCTTGTACCTGTCCTCCGGGATGGGCTGGAAAACAAAGCAGGGATTGTTAAAGACTCTGGCACCGCTGTTTCCGCAAGGTCTCCCCTGTGTGCCAACTTCCCTTCTGGATTTTCTTAAACAGCCCTTGGGCAGGAAGTCAGTCAACAGACAGAGCCTGACGTCATCACAGTTGACATTTCCATTTAATATCAAATGGTTCGTCTATTCAGGGAATGTGCTTCAGACAACAAGCTATTTCTGTTTTTAATTCATTTTAAGGAGAATCGTAGTCTCTTTACATGTGTCCTGGCTTTGCAGGAGAAACATCATTTGAAACACAGAGAAAAGATGGGTCACATATTTCTCAGGAACCTCAGTTTGTACAAGTGATATCATTCCAAACGAGTACAAAAGGCGGCCCCCTATTGCCCCTCCTTACAGAGGTTATCAGCCCAAGGAAAAGCAAGTCAGGGCTCAGTCTGGGCTTCCTGGTACACTCAGGAATTACTCAGCTGACCAGGGACGTGGCCCTTGGAATTTCTCTGCATTCCAAAGTTCACAAACACAATCCACTCCAGCATTTTTCTCTTCGCTATGTCCACGGTTCCCCTTCAGAAAAATACTCGGGAGAATGACACTCTCAGAATCCTATCACTGTCACTAGAAATTCTTAATGGACAGATATTTTTAAAGAAGCCAGTGTTCTCCACAGAGCGTGTGCGTGCAGTGCAATCCCAAATGAGAAAATGGATTCTGTACCCGAGGCAGGAAGGCTCCTGATTCTTGAACGGATGTCTTCACTGGTTCTCCTGCAGGATGAGAGGGAAATCAACTTAAAAGCTGAAGGAGATTTAGCCCACTCCATGCTGGCTGCGTTTCTTCATATCACAAGTGTCTCTTCCCCTATTTCTTTCCCCCACTATCGCTTCTCTCCTCAGCTATACTCAGCCCCAGGGTTCCAACCTTGCACTGTAAAACCTAACCGATACGCCCGGTCAGCACAGCTCAGCAGTTGAGCATCAACCCAGAAAACCAAGAGGTCGCTGGTTCGATTCCAGGTCAGGGCACATGTCCAAATTTCTGGCTCAATCCCCAGTGGTAGCCCAACGATGATGTTCCTCTCTCATTGATGTTTCTATCTCTCTCTCCCTCTCCCTCTCCCTTCCTCTAACTGTAAAAATCAATAAAAACACATTTTTAAAAAAGAAAACCTAACTGAGAAGGTAACCCAAGTTTCTGTGCTAAAGAAGGGTTATGTAGAAAAATTGCTTAAGTAGCAAGTGGAAGAAGGCTTCTCCAGGTGAGGACCAGGTAACTGCTGAGTTTTTAACTTGAGAATCTAATACCTTCACCACCAACAATACCAATAGCTTTCCTACCTGTGCTAAAACTGTGGGCCACACCCAAGGGAACAGCCTTAGAGACTGAACAGATGGCCAGGTTTTCTTAGCCCAGTGATACTGGGAGATCGTAACATTAAATGTCAATAGCAAGATCGGGGACAGTGAGCTTAGCAAACGTAGGTGAGCCTACGGCACTTTTTGTTAGATAAAAATGACTTTATTAGCCCAGGGAGGTAGAGAAATGATCCGTTTTAAGGCCATAAAGAGCTGGCATGAAGCCTAGCACCATCACAAACAAGCTCTGTGAACTTGGGCAAGTTTCTTCCTGAAGTCTCAGGGGATTTTTAAATCTCTAGGGAGGACAAACCAAAATCTATACTACTGTTGCAAAAATGAGAAATAATGTCTAAAGACAGGCCAAGAAAATGCCAGGAATGATAAGGCTTGGGGGAAATGAGCATTTTTCAAAGCTGTAAAAGTTGAATCACTCTTTTTAAAGAACAACTAGCAACACCCTTTAAAACAACATCCTGCTTCTAGAAGTTTATCTTATGAAAATAATAAAGTATGCAAAAATGTCAAGGACATCTACTGAAGGACTGCCCCAAGCTAGAAAGAAACTAAAAGTCTGCCCATATGAAACAGGGTAAATAAATTATTCTATATAATAAAAGGGTGAAATGCAAATTGACCAAAAGGCGGAATGACCAGTTGCTATGATGTGCACTGACCACCAGGGGACAGTCGCTCAACGCAGGAGGTGCCCCCTGGTAGTCAGTGCACTCACACAGAGCTGATGGCTGGCAAGTGCTGTGGCCCGCCTCCATGGCAGCGCTAAGGATGTCCAACTGCGGCTTAGGCTGTCAGTTCGACATCTCCCGAGGGCTCCCGGACTGCGAAAGGGCACAGGCTGGGCTGAGAGACACCACACACCCCTCATCCCCCACAGTGCACTAGGCCTCTAGTGTCCATATAATGCAATACTATGCAATGTTAAAAAGGATTAAGAGATCTTTATGTATTTGACATGAAAAGATATGCAGAATATATTGAGTAACAAATGGATTACTAAATATTATAATATTGATCCAGTATACTTAAAAATATGTATTGTGTGCATATATTTATACATCTATATGTGAAAAATAAGAGTCTTAGAGGTATATAAATCAAACATTAATCAGATTATGTTGATACTTGTAATTAAGAGAAAATTTCACTTTGTCTTTTTGTATTTTAGCAATCATGGATTAACAGAATTTTTAAAAGCACAGAATGATCTCTGTAATATGCCTGTCTCCATTTAAGGCACTTAGTAAGAGCTTCATAAATTGTATCATCATCATTATCATCATTCAGATGAGATCTATTTAGAAATCCAAATTAATATGAATACGGGGCTTGATCATTTTAAACTTCTATTAGATTAAGGCCAAGAATGCGTTCTTCCTTTATTAGCAAATCAACCATGTCCAGGCCAAAGCAGCTCTCCCAGGATCACCAGGGTGTGGAGAGCTTCACTTACCTCACCCGTGCAAGTCCAATCAAGAACAAACCTGCCATTAACGCAGTGGAAAGAACACAGATTGCTTTTAATTCCTATCCAGATCTACCAGGTCTCCTATTTCCCTTTAAACAGCTTTCAGAATGCTAATGATCACCACACCTCACCAGCATTTTAAGAAATGCTGTCACTTCAGGAATCAATTCGCTCCTCTGTAGCTTTTCCTGGAGCGCAGAATTTTAGGTATGAAATGACAGGCATGGGCTTCTCCATCTGGCTAATCCGGGCAAAATGCTTTTCCGTTTCCAAGTGCATGCAGACAGCATACAGGCTGCCACGCAAAGATAGCTTCCATCAGGCCACTGCCCTACTACAATGTTCACGATCTCCACTGCACACAGGACCAGGTCCAAGCTCCCCGGGTGAGACCGGGCCCTCCTTACCTGCCTAGCCATCCCTGCCTGCCTCCAGGAATCCTGAGCCATCTCCACTGCAGTGTGACTGACTCAGCCTCGCTTCAAGGAGGTCTCAAGCCAAGCAAAAGACATACACTTTTAAAAATGGGTGGGATTGCGTGCTGCTGTCAGAGAGATGAGAGAGGTCATACAGGTTGAAATTACTAGTTTTTTATATTGTATTTTTTCCTTTCTTTTTAGGAGAGGGGGATGTCATCTATAGAGTACCTAGACTTATTAAATGGACTTGAACACAAGATCTTAGTAACCTTTCTTCTTCCTGCT